CCAACTCCCAAAAATATTCAGCTTTGATATTAATGAGTCTTTTGGGTTCATTAAGAACATGGTTGTTGTTCAATAATAAAATGAATCCTCAAAAATACAACTTGCCTAATAATTCTGCACTCCCTGTAAACACAACATTCCATTTTCCATCTAATACTGCAGCTAAGATCACTTAACGGCTGTTCATTCCTGAGGGGCTGTTTGGTTGATAGATGTGGTCAGAGAAGAAAAAACTGCTAGTGGAAGAAGGACGAAGGGTTTGTTTAACGTCTCTGGTTTTCTTGCTAACAAATGCTAACAGGACCTGAAACGACCAATCACAGACACCATTGATTGTGATAGTCTGAGATAAATACATTAAACAAGTTTGTCTAATCTGTAGGTCGGGGGTCTGAATATGGACGCAGAGACAGATTTTATGAAAATTGAGATTGTTCAAAATTAACTATGACTTCACTCACATAACGGAAGATGCTTTCGCTAATATTTGCATTTCGTCTAATTCATATCGTTTTTACACAGATCATTCATATTTTACTCGATCTTTTGTTACATTTTGAACAGTGCTTATTTTTCATGTCCTTGTTTACCTCTTTTTATTTCTATCAGGCCAGATGTTCTCACACTTTCCTGCAGCGCCCCCTTTTGTAGAAACGATTATAGTACCTTATTTAAAAACTGGAAATGAAGGAAATAAAACTTAAAAATAAAAAAATAAAGAAATTTGAACATAATTTGCAATACTGCCCGCTACAGCACCTCTGCAATAACTCAGGACTCACCCCCCACTTTGAGAACCACTGTAATAGACTCACATTTAACAGCCTTTCGGAAGCAAAAAATTGCATTGCATACAATGTGTTACTAATCAGAAATCACAGACCTTCACATTATTTTACATACATTTTTTGTCTGTTATCTTCTTTGAAGAACTCAATATAACAAAACAATCCAACGTAGACCAGGAAACAAGAAAAAACTGAGCCAAACAACTGGTCGACTGATAAAACCAAAGGAAAGGAGCTGAACAGGGGAGACACTCAGCAGACACAGCTGCATTGACGGCACACAGGTGAAACACATGAGGGAGAGGCCTGTCATCAGAGAGAAAGAGAGCGAGAGAGGGGAAGAGAGACATAAGACCTGACATGGGGACCTGGACTGTACATCAAACAGTCCTAAAGGCAGTTTTTTCAAACCAGGGGCACGCAGACCCCTAATGGTACAGCAGGAGTGCGCAAACTGTTCCACGAAGGGCCGCTGTGGCTGCAGGTTTTTGTTCCAACCAAGCAGTAGCACACCTGAGTTGACAGGTTTAATCAACTGGTCTCAGTCTTCAGACACCTGATTGGTCAAACTATGTGCTCTTGGTTGGTTGGAACAAAAACCTGCAGCCACACGGCTCTTTGAGGAACAGTTTGGGTATGCCTGTGATACAGGCTGTATCCACCTTTGCTTTTGGAAATGTTCGCAGAAATTTCATAGTTTTTGGGGTTAAAACTGACTTATTTAAACAATTTTCCTTTGTGGAAAATGTATAATGAGCTAACTATGACAATATATAAGTAAATAAAAAGAGGCAATTCAACAATGTACGTGTAGATTCAGGTGTTTTTAAGTGACGAAATTCATATTTTATTTTATTCACCATATTTAACCTTGCCGTAAATAAAACAAAAAATGATGCTATTTATTTTATATTAAATACAAGCAGATTATTAAGGATTGAGTTTATTTTAAATTGTTTTTCTCACCCATTTTTTGTGTCCTGAGAGTAGGTTTTTTTGAATCCATTACCTTGTTTTTGAACTGATCTAATAAGACATTAAAATTATTTTAACTTAATATTCTGTTTTAGGTTTTAAATTAACATTTTTAGTATTATGAACACTGTGGTGGTGAAGGTAAGGGTCAAAGGGGTGGAGGATCGGGGTGGCTGACTAGCTGAGGTAAAGAAATATATTGTGTAAAAGAAGTCCCTCAGAAGCTTTGGTGCTTTTATAAATAAAGATTTTTACTACATGCTAAAAGCTAAACCTTAGCATTAATGTGTATTTCTTTTACTCATTTGCACTGTTTGTAATCTAAAAATAGTCAATTTCCCACCAGAGTATGAAACACAATTTAGCCAAACGTGAGAAAAAGTTGTTTTGGATAAAGTGACTGAAAAGACTGACACAAGGTCAGTGTTTTCCTGGGTGGGAAGGTGGTACTGTCTAGTACTGACATTTTTGTATTACTTAAACAATGTACTGCATTGGCTGTTGTGCAGCTCGTATTCCTCTTACAGTATACGTGAGCTGCAGTGAGTCGCACGTCTCACTCTGTGGTGTTTCTCTACGTGTCTGCAGCCCTGAGTACAAGAGCTCATCCATCGTGTGTTGATGATTTGAGTGTATCCAAGGGATACCACTGTCAATGCATATTAATGGAAAATCAGTACTCACATTAGGTCCATTCAGGTAATGATATAGGTTGCTATTCTGGGGTAGAGCTGTTGGGCTTAAGTTATGTCAGTGCACAATGCCTTCAAAACAGAATATGCCTGAGGCACAATGAGGCTCCTTAAAGTTGATGATAAAGATGCAAAGCATGTCCGGGAGAACACCTCACATGCACAATACACTGTCATCGAGACGAGCATGTGTCGAAGAGGAGGCGCTACGTACATCTGACAACACTGAGAGCCCCATCAGGGGAACAGTAAACCACCTGCTTTTGACACCCCAGACGTGCGTGGGTTGTTTTCACATACTAAATTTTTATTTCTCTCAGAAAGCTGCAGCAGTGCTCTCTTAGTACTAGTAGTGTAACCAGGGTTTGAAAAGGTCTTAGTTGTAGTAATTACACTTCGGTTTTGTATTACATTACATTACATTTAGCAGATGCATTTATCCAAAGTAAATATTGTAGGAATATTACTGCTCTGCTATAACTCAACAGGTCCATATATGGTGACTTGGAAGGTTTAATTAAACGAATACTTATCAGTAAAGAACAGTAAACCACCTGCTTTTGACACGCAGTGCTTGTCTTAAATGGTATGTGACCCCTGGAACGTGTGCAGCAGAAGAGGGAGACGTTCTATGGTTGCCATGGTAACGCACCTGCAGAGGAAGGTCATTGAGAGAAGAACCCACTCCCACAACAAACTTGTTTATATGTCTGTATAAATTCAGAGGTCTTGGGACAGTTAGTCAGTCAGCGCTCCTGGCATAGGTCCTGGGTAATCGGCAGGCTACTAGATCAGCACTGACTCGAGAGAAAAGTCTCTGTAAGTTCGGTTTTATCCATAATTGTTTTGTTTGAATATACTCTGTATACTCTCTTGCTTGTTCTTGCTCTCTTTGTACTGTACTCTTTCACTGACTCCAGAGAAAAGTCTCTGTAAGGTTTGGCACCTTTGCAGCTTGACAGTAAACAAGCATCATCAGGCTGTGAT